TTTGTAGTATAATTTCAATTTTAGTCTGGGTGTATAACTGGTTGCACTTTTGAAAAAAACAAAGTTGAAAGATGGTTATTTTCGCAATTTCGCCGGCATGTCGTAATTGGCGTTAGAAAAAATTTCAAAAATCCCGAATTCCTGTAATATATACAAATCATTGCCGTCAAGTTGTTGTATGGATGTAAATCTTTCGGTTGACCCGAAAATAAAAATCAAATTATGTCGTACACATATCTGGAGTTCCTTTGAAAATGGATAATTTTACGTCTCAAACTGTCTAAAAATAGCCATGGCAGACACAAAATAGAAAATATAGCAAAACTTGAAAAATAAAACAAGAATCCAAAAGATGTATGCATATTTATTACCTACTAACAAAGGCTAACAAATGATAGAAATATGAAGGGAAAATAATTTTCAACGCGAGAGTCAGTAGGAGGATCTTAGGGAGACGGCCTCTTAAATTGTTTAATTTGAACAGTTTGTGTGTGTGCCAAAGCTTGTCTCTAAACCACAAAATTAATCAGAGTATGCATTTGTTTATGTCTTGTTCTAATTAGAATGACATTTAAACCAAAATATTACTTTAATGCAGGAAATTTTGAAATGCCGGACAATTTGTATACAATGCAGGCACTGGAGGTCTATTCTATAGTTATTTTGTTCAGTTTACCTGGCTGGGTCTGGTTGGGTTTGCACAGACATGAATCCTAGAGGTAGCACTTGATTGGTGACAATTTTTTGACCAAAAAGGTTGGGAAGTTTCCACTTGCTGGTATGTTTTGGTTGCTGGGGAGCCCGGGGTTGTTGAACTGCTTTGTGGGGGTTGGTATAGAGAGTCTCCAACTTAGTAGTGAGAAATTCGGCTGCCTTTGCTTTCAACTTATCGATTCTTTTTGAACTAAAATTGAACTTTTTAGGTGGAACAAATACAGCCTGTAAGGAATTTAAATTGTGTTTACAGGCATCAATTTCCTTGGCCTTGTGTGCAATTTGATCTGCAGAATCAGTCTCTTTTGTTCTTTGTCATAACACCGAGTGAAAATTCTACACAGGATACTCATCAAAGACCACCAAGTGTTGACGTAGGGTTTCAAACATGGATGGGCTATTTTTTGGCCAGTAGAGGAAAGTGTTACCAGTAGTGCTTTGTTGTAGTGACAGTGGAATACAAACATAACCCAACAGTGGAGCATTGATTGACAAAAAAGTTCATACTTGTTGCACTTGAAGACTATGGAATAAATACTCAATGCCAATGGAATGTAGTTGTCAAGAAGGTTTACCAGTGCGAGGAACTCAATGTCTTTGCACTTGTAAAAGACAGACAAAATCATATCTCTCACTAGTGTCCACCCTCCATATATTACTTCCAGCAGTAAAGATACTCTCCAAGGCTTTGGTTTTTTGGCCAGCTTTGCTTTTTTTCCAAAAAGAAAGGCATAGAGATCAGCAAATAACTCATGGAACAGTAACAATACACACACTCTGGCATTCAACGAAATGTGTAATGGACCAATCAAGGGTATTACATTCTTCAGAGTTGCAGGTACTGTTGTAGCATTAGAATATACCAGCTGCCAAATAAAAAAATGCTTTCGCCAGTCACCAATAACAGGAGCAATAAATTGACTCTGGTACTTGTTCAGACCACTTGACAAGACTTTGTTTACTGCAGTCAGGACATCATCCAATGATTTCAAAGGCAGCTCAATACTATAAGCAAGTTTTGTGTTTTTCATAGATCTCATTTGCTGAATTTCAGTTTTCTGATAGTCATGAACCAATAGTCATGAACCAATAATCTGTGTCTTTCTGCTTCCGGGTCAAAATATTTAGATAACTACCCCAGTCTGGCATATTTTCAGCATATGTCTTAGACAATTTGGACATGCTGCAGGCAATGAATCTTTTGAGACATTTGACACCAGGGATTTCAACTGGGCACTGTGGCAATAAATTAACTCCATGGTTGGAAACAGCTTTAACTTCTGGGAAAACCCTTAAAGTGTTTATGAAACGAAATTTTCGGGTCCCTTTTTTTGGGATATTCTGACAGAGTTTTTTACGCTGAATATCGTGAGCTAATCCGTTTTTGACATAGCGATATAGAAAGTGCCTTATTTTGACTCTGAAAGTGGCATTTTTTGACAATTATATGTCCGTGTTAGACGCGCGGTCACATGTCATGTGTGACATCACTGGTTAGAGTCGTTCTAGCAAACATGGCAGCTATAGACAAGCGTGAAGGAGCTTGCGGTACAAAAAGTAAGAAACAGTTGGGGAAATATTGCGTTGCTGGTCGACCTGGTAATATCAGTTGTAAGAATAACTCCACCGTCCAAGGAATATCCATGCATGGATTCCCTAAGACTGAAGGAACTCTGCGAAATTTGTGGATAAAGTTTGTCCAACGACATCGACCTAACTGGCAGCCATCGCCATATTCGGCATTATGCTCGGCTCATTTTGAGGTGCATTTCTACCTCCAGCGTCCAGACGTCACTGTTAACCAGTTAGACACAGACAACTCCTTTCAAACAAAGAAAATGTTGGACAGAAAGATAGCCTATCCTACGATTGATACTGTTCAGCCTGAGCGAGAAGTGCATAATATTTCTGATCGTGAGCATAGAAATACGGTGGCCGGTACGTGTCACTACATAAACAAGTATCAAAACACATTACAAAATCAAATAACGCCAACCAGAGAAAACTACGCATTTCAAAATACTCACTACACATTACAAAATACTCACTACACATTTCAAAATTCTCACTACACATTTCAAAATTCTCACTACACATTTCAAAATACTCTCTACACAATTCAAAATTCTCACTACACATTTCAATATGCTCACTACACATTTCAAAATGCTCACTACACATTTCAATATTCTCACTACACATTTCAAAATACTCATTACACATTTCAAAATACTCACTACACAATTCAAAATTCTCACTACACATTTCAATATGCTCACTACACATTTCAAAATTCTCACTACACATTTCAAAATGCTCACTGCACATTTCAATATACTCACTACACATTCTCCCCAGGCTTATAATTATGCGC